AGTACATCATGCGAAATACTGGACTGGATGAAGCACAAGCTGGAATCAAGATTGCTGGGAGAAATATCAATCACCTCAGATATGCAGATGACACCACATTTACAGCAGAAAGCGAAGAAGAACTAAAGAGCCTCTTGATGAAAGTGAAGAGGAGAGTAAAAAAGTTGGTTTAAAACTCAGCATTCAGAAAACTAAGATCATGGCATTTGGTCCCATCACTTCATGGCTAATAGATGGGAAAACAGTGGAAACAGTGTGAGACTATTTTTTTGGCCTCCAAAATCACTGCAGATGGTGACTGCAGCCATGAAATCAAAAGACACTTGCTCCTTGGAAGAAAAGTTATGACCAATGTAGACAGCATATTAAAAAGCAGAGACATTACTTTGCCAACAAAGGTCCATCTATTCAAAGCTGTGGTTTTTCCAGTAGTCATGTATGGATGTGAGATTTGGACTATAAAGAAAGCTGAGCACCAAAGAATTGATGCTTTTGAACTGTGGTGTTGAAGACTCTTGAGGGTCCCTTGGACTGCAAGGAGATCAAAACAGTCCATCCTGAAGGAAATCAGTCCTGAATATTCATTGGAAGGACTGATGCTGAAACTGAAACTCCAATACTTTGGCCACCTTATGTGAAGAACTGACTTATTAGAAAAGACCCTGATGCTGGGAAAGATTGAAGGCAGGAGGAGAAGGGGATGGACAGAGGACGAGATGATTGGGTGGCATCACCGATGCTATTGGACATGAGTTTGAGTAAACTCTGGGAGTTGGTGATGGACAGGGAGGCCTGGTGTGCTGCGGTCCGTGGGGTTTCAAAGACTCGGACATGACCTGAACTGATCAGGGCTCAGGTAGGTACAGGGGCCTTATCCACGGCCTGTAGTAAACAGTGGATTTTACTACTTTGGAGCACTGGCTCCCAAGCCTGTGCTCTCCTGCCTCCCCCAGCATGAGGGACCCTGATAAGTGTCACACACTATATTATGGACCCTCTTAGATTGTCAGCTGGTGGGGAGTATAGACCATACCTTATGATTTTTAGGACATAGTCTCATTATCTGTGAAATAGGAATGATCTTTTCATTCTTCTCAAGTACGTCAAGGGAAATTAAGTACATGTGAGCCATGGGAATTTGGGGGATAAAGAGGAACTGGGGGTCCCAGGTACCAAGATGAGGCCCCGAGTTCCTACAGTCCCCACAGAGGCACACGTCTGTCTTGGGAACACCCTCTTAGAGTTCAATTAGTTCTTCTGCAGCTTTTCCTGAGCTCGTGCCAGAAAAACAGTCTCTCAAATTTCTTACATGTTATGAGGCATTGCAGATAACTCCATATAATCAAATATGCCATTCCACATCTCATTTGTAATTTCACAATTTAGCTCTCTGCGCCATTTAAGCACATATAGAGCCTCTCGAGAAATCCTTATTTTTTTTCCTAAAGCTTTTATATGTGAACTTAGTGCTGATTTTGGTCTTTGCTGTGTCTAATAAGATTCTCACCAAGTGTTCTCACTGAGGAAGGCTTTCTAAAATGTAAGGAACCATGGCAATAAGCCCTGGCCTGATATAAGTCAAGCAGGCCAAGGAGGCAGCAGACAGGGGGCTCTGACGAGCCGTCGAATATTCTTTTCTCTTTTGTCTCTGCTTTTTGTGTTTGGTCTGACTGCGTCTCTGGAGGATACAGCTGCTTTACAGTTATGCAGTGCTCCATGATTCACAAGGCACCTCTCCTGTATTGTGTGTGATCTGAGCTTCACAACCACTCGGTAAGCATGATGGAACAAGGCTACTATTCCCACTTTATAGATAAGGAAACTGAGGCTTGGTGAGGTTAAGTGACTTGCCCAAATCCATGAAGCTAAGTTTAATTATTCACTAATTAATGGCAAGGCTAGGAATTAAATGCAAATCTTCTGATGAGAAGTGTGGCACCTTCCTGCTGATCCAGTCTGCCTTCCTAGAGGGGATCCTTTGCCACTGATGATCTGAGGTTTCAGAGATGAGACTGTGGCATCTGGACCCTACTGCTCATGTAGTTCGGAGAAGGCAATGGCACCCCACTCCAGTACTCTTGCCTGGAAAATCCCATGGACGGGGGAGCCTGGTAGGCTGCAGTCCATGGGGTCGCTAAGAGTCGGACACGACTGAGCGACTTCACTTTCACTTTTCACTTTCATGCATTGGAGAAGGAAATGGCAACCCACTCCAGTGTTCTTGCCTGGAGAATCCCAGGGACCAGGGAGCCTGGTGGGCTGCCGTCTATGGGGTCGCGTGGAGTCGGACACGACTGACGTGACTTAGCAGCAGCAGCAGCAGCTCATGTAGTTACTGACTCCATCCGCTGTTCTCATGGTTACTCTCCAAGCCCTGAGCACTGCCCTTTCTCACTTGGGTCATTGACACAGGGTCCTAGATTGGTTTCCTTACTTCCCGTCTTGACCCACTCAAGTCCAATGTCCACACCCCCACATAAATGACTTTCTTCAATGCAAATGTTATCAAGTGCTTCTCTGTTTGAAACACACTGATCACTTTCATGGTCTTTCAGAAAAACATGCAAACTCCCCAGTGGGGCCTCCAAAGGTGTGCATGGAGGGATGTGGCTTGTCACCCCCAGAATCTGAGTGCCATCCCCTCCTCACCACCAAACTCTCCTGTCCTGGAAACTTCATCATCTTCATCTTATGACTCATGTCACCTTTCCGCTGCCTCATTGTCTTCTCTTTATAATGTTTTATAATTTTGGAGCCATTTGTAACCAGCCCCCTCCCTTCAAAAAAAAAAAAAACACCCTGTTTATAGCTCCTTAATTATTATTGGTGCTTCCCTGGCAGCTCAGCTGGTAAAGAATCCACCTGCAATGCAGGAGTCCCTGGTTCAATTCCTGGGTCGGGAAGATATGCTGGAGAAGGGATAGGCTAGCAACTGCGGTATTCTTGGGCTAATCGTTATTTTTCAGAATTGTTTAAAATTAATTTTTATTGGAGTAGGATCCCCAAGTGGCTCAGTGGTAAAGAATCCACTTGCCAATGCAGAAGACGTGGGTTCGATCCTTGGGTCAGGAAAATTCACTGCAGAAGGAACTGGCAACCTACTCCAGTCTTCTTGCCATAGACAGAGAGGCACCATGGGCTGCAGTTCACGTGTTCTGTACAAACAGTCAGACATGACTTGGCGATGAAACGATGACATAGTTGCTTTACAATGTTATGCTAATTTCTACTGTGCAGCAAAATGAATCATTCATGCATTTACATATATGTAAATATATGCATTTCCCTCCCACTCAGACTGCCACAGAGCATTAGAGTTCCCTGTGCTATCCAGTAGGTTTTCATTAGTTATCTGTTGGGTGGGAAGAATTGGGAGATTGAGCTTGACACATATAATATTTATTTCTGTATTCTGATTGAGAGATTATAAAATACTTCCAATAATTATAACGATTATAAAATATTACTTCCAATAATTGGGCTTCCCTGGTGGCTAAGATGGTAAAACGTCCGCCTGTAATGCAGGAGACCTAGGTTTGATCCCTGGGTCAGGAAGATCCCCTGGAGAAGAGAATGACAACCTGCTCCAGTATTCTTGCATAGAAAATTCCATGGACAGAAGAGCCTGGCGGGCTACAGTCCATAGTGTCGCAAAGAGTGGGACATGACTGAGTGACTAACACTTCCAATAATTAGCATAGACGCCAAGGTGGACAGGGAGCCATTGTACAAATGCAGACACTGAGGGCTGGGGATTTAAGTAACTTGTCCACCTTCACGTCACAGCCAAGCGACCCAGCACTTGAAATTCAAGTTGGTATATTCTAGTTCACGCACAATTATGCAACCTGTTTGCATAGTTTACCAGCTCCTGTAAAGCATTTGGGGAGGAGGGGTAAATAGTAAAAAGATGGAATGTCAAAATCCGAGTTGCATCTCACAAACTAGTCGGGAAGGACTCTTGCATAAGAAGCATTTCTAGGCAGGAGGAGAGGCAAAGAGAAAGGGAGAGAACCCTGCCCCTGGAAAAACAGCCTGTGGGCTCATTAACCGCTTTCAAACAATCTCTCATCTCTCCCATCTCCCTGGTGGCCAGAAATAAGTCAGAGGGGAACGAGTGTGGTAAACTTTCACCTGCAGGGACAGGATCTCTGGGGAGAAAAGACATCACAAGTGGATAGAGTTTGCTGTTTTCTGCTGAGTCATGGGGTAGGTCTTCTTTCTTGGAATAACGGAATCATTCTCCTGGGGGCAATGCTCGTGTCCCCAGCAGTGTTGCCTTAATGACATGAAGGCTGAAGGCACTCTAGCTCTGGGCATGAGTAAAACTCCCAACTTACCAGGAGCCCTTCCTAACTCTGGCAGCCACGGGCCACTTCCTCGTGGCCCTAATTTAGCAAGGCTGGTGATACTTCCCAGGTGGCACTAGTGTTAAGAAGTTGCCGGCCAATGCAAGAGATATAAGAGACATGGGTTGGATCCCTGGGTTGGGAAGATCCCCTGGAGGAGGGCATGGCAACGCGCTCCAGTATTCTTGCCTGGAGAATCCTGTGGACAGAGGAGCCTGGCAGTCTTTGTTCAGCCCATGTGGTTGCACATAGTCAGACACAGCTCAGTGACTGAACAACATTATCAGTTTCTGGGATGCTGTGGACACAGTCGTTTGTTGATATCAAAGAAAGAAGGAAGCACAAGCTTCTCTGGCCCCCTCTGCTCAGAAGGCCACTTGTGAGGAGAATGTTCCACAGATGTGCTGAATGGTGAAGAGTCACCTGCCCGTAGCCTCTGTAAAGTCAACGGTGCCTCTTGGAAACAATGGGTCCATCTCACGTACATCTCAGTTTTGCATGTGGGGTGGGGGTTGGTTCATCTGGCAGGGTTCTCTGCCTTTGAACCTGCCTCTAAGTCTTAGACCCATGCGCTTTGAAGTGCAGGATGAGTAGTTCCAAAAGTCCCAGAGTCTTCCATCCAAGATCCTGATTGTGTTCTAGATGTGCTCTGACACGCATACCTTCAAATCTCAATGCTTAACCAATCGAAGCCTGTTTGCCAACAATGCCAAGGCGAAGGGCTGGTCCCAGGACCAGCAGCACTAGCATTTCCTTGGAAGCTCTTTAAAGTTCACACCTCAGAACTGCCTCAGGTCTACTGAATCAGAATCTCCATTCTAACAAGATCCCCCTTGATGGGTCTTTTTTTTTTTTTTTTGCTATTTTTTATTTTTAAAATTACCTTTATCTATTTAACCCTGCACTGGGTCTTCATTGCTGTGTGTGGGCTTTCTCTAGTTGCAGTGAGTGGGAGGTTACTCTCCAGGGGCAGTGCAGGGCCTTCTTGCACTGGTGTCTCGTTACAGAGCACAGGTTCCAGGCACTCCGGCTCAGTAGTTGTGGCCTGAGGGCTCGGGAGCACTGGCTCGGTAGTTGTGGTGCATGGACTTAGTTACTCTGTAGCATGTGGGATCTTCCTGGACCAGGAATTGTACCCATGTTCCATGCATAGGCAGATTCTTTACTCCTGAGCCACGAGGGAAGTACACCCTTGATAGATCTTGAACAAAATATTCCTTATATGAGAGGGAGAGGAAGAAAGACTTCCCTGGTGGTGCAGGGGTTAAGAATCTGCCTTCCAATGCAGGGGATGTGGGTTCAGTCCCTGGTTGGGGAACTAAGATCCCACACGTCTGTGGGCAACTGAGCCTGTGGGCGGCAACTCCTGAACCCATGTGATCTAGAGTCCTGACAGCCAAAATAATAATAAAATAAAGAGGGAGAGGAGGAAAATAGACTCAATGAGATAGAAGTAGAGGAAAACAGAGACAGTTTGCCCTGCTGTGAAGACATTGAATTACATATTGAACTATGCAAAGCCTGTTCTAAAGTCCCAGCACTTGGGTGCCCAGTGCTCGGGCACCAGAAGCCAGCTTTGGCTCAAGGTCATTGCGTTGCTGACGTAGGAGGCCCCTCCCCTGCCTGCTTCCCAGGGCACCCACCAGCGCCAGGGCAGGCTGATTTCCATTTCTTCAGCTCGCCTCTTTCCTGTTGCTGCCAGGCATGGAGGCGGGAGAAGAGGGTTTAATCAACCTCAGTGAGTCCTGTTAGCAAGTTGGAAAATACAGCACAGTTTCTTTTTTTTTCCGTGTGGCACCCCAAAGTGCGAACATCAAGGGGGTGATTACTGGCCCTTTATTATTCTCATTTTGGTAAAGCTGTTTTCCACCCCCACACCTATGTTCAAGGTTAATTTGTGGTGCTGTCTCCCTGCAGGTCTCTGCCCAGCGCCCCGGGGAACTGCGTTTAGTAACACGGAGCAGGAGAGGCAGAGAGCGCGGCGCTGACTCCACACATGACTTGGAAACCGGCTTGGCCTGATGGCAGGAGAATGTGTGTTTTTCTGGTGTTAACTGCGGAGGGGGAAGCAGTGGGCGCCCGGGAGCCCTGGCACATGGTGCGGTTTCCCGCCCTGGGAGATGCTGCTGAAAAGAGCACTAAGGCAGAGGAGGCAGCATCTTCTGCGGGAGGCGGGAGCGAGCGTGCAGAGGGTTTGGATTGAGTGAGGTTGAGGAGACAGAGGCAGAACCTTTTCGGAGGCAATCGACAAAGGGAGGTGGGGGTGGGTCCGCTCTGGAGCAGAGCCATTTCAGACACCCACACCTTGATCCCCGCCTAGGCGGCTGAAGCCAGAAACAGTCCAGCACATAAAGGGGAAGCCAGCATCATATAACCAATCCAGGCAGTGTGTTCTGATTCACAAACCACCATCCCCTCCCTTCTTTTAAAAGACTCCTAGTTTCCCCCAGTATCCATCCTCCCTTCTTCCTTACCAACAGAACCCCGATGTTATCCTGGGAAGCAAGATGCCAAGTAAAAGGGTGATGTTTCCCAGCCTCCCTTGTAAGGAGGCAAGGCCCCCAGAGGTGAGCAGAAGTTGTTAGGTGGAGCTACCAGGCAAGCCCCTCAACCATGTGGATTCACCAAGGGAGCACTTGTCTTTTGCAGTTTCTCCATCTTTCTGCCTAAAATGTGTCCTTCTCTGTGTGTGTGTGTGTGTGTGTGTGTGTGTGTGTGTACTCAGTCATGTATGACTCTTTGTGACCCCATGGACTGTATCCCACCAGGCTCCTCTGTCCATGGGATTCTCCAGGCAAGAATACTGGAGTGGGCTGCCATTCCCTTCTCCAGGGGATCTTCCCAACCCAGGGATCAAACCTGCCTATTCTGCGTTGACAGGTGGATTCTTTACTGCTGAGGCACCTGGTTCTGCTCGGCTCTAAGGGGTAATGTGATGTCAGAGCTGCATACTAGAGATGGTGAGGCAGACATTTACGAGGTTTCTCATTCTTGGATGACTGTTGTCCTTGCCTATTTCTGGACTTTGCCCCAGAAGCCATTTGTTTGCATTTTGAACTCAGTCCTACATTGTTGCCACATCATCCATGTTCCCCGCATTAGGTCAGGCAAGTAAATCTAGCTATTGAAACAAACTTCCAAATCTCAGTTGCTTGATCCAATAAAAGCTTGCCATTCACATCAAGCCCAGTGAGGAGGTAACAGGTTGGCAGGTTATCTTGGATCTCAGGGCCTGTGCTCCTTCCCTCCTGGTCTGCACTGAACTCTGTACCCTCCGCATCCTCTCCGCAGCAGATGGGGTGAGGCAGCAAGAATAGCAGACGGTCGTATCTCTGGGCCATACCACGGTGAGGCACAGCCCCATGTACCGAGATCTCATTGGCTGAAATTCTGTCCTTTGGCCACAAGGGGGCCAGGAAATATCAGCAGGTTACAAGTTCAGGAGGAAAGCAGATGGTTTTTGGTAAATAGTCCTAGGGTGCCAAAAACACTGTTTCAGGAGGGAAGGAGGAAAGGAGGGAGGGAGAGAGGGGAGAGAGAGAGAAAGAAAGAAAGAGAAAGGAAGAAAGGAAAGAAGGAAAGAAAGAAAATAAAAGGAAAGAGAGGAAGGAAGAAAAGGAAAAAGAAGGGAGGGCAGGAGGGAGGGAGGCAGGAAGAAAGAGAAAGGAAAAAAAAGGAAAGATTCTCAGATGCTCAGTTGTTCTCTACAGATTATTCATGCATGTTTCCCGTGATGCAAAATATGCCAACGTGTAGAAAGAACGGAATGATGTCACTGGCGTCCCAAGTGCGTGTCTGTGTTAGCCAGGCTTCCCTTCCTTCAGGAGGCTTTTGTTCAGCTCGGGACTTCAGAGCCCTGTGGTTACACCCCAGGGGCTGGAAGGCTCTAGGGAAGCGGAGGAGGTCAGACTGGGAGAGGCTGCTTTGCCTGTGAGATTCCTGGCTTAGGAGCTGGGTAGATCTCACTTTGACCGAGATCCTTTATTGTAACTGTCCCTGTGGCTGGCCTTGAGCAAGCGGCTTCTGTTTTCTGAGCAGTGACTTCCCTGTCTCCTCATCTGTAAAGTAGAAATAACAATACCTGGCCTCTGGGTTTCTCCGTCTCTTTCTTAAGAATGAGAGGTAATGTGGCAAAGCATCCGGTCAAGTAGAAGCTCCGAAACTGGCAGCTGCTGTTCTCACCTATCTCAGTCTCTCTTAATTGGTCCTTGTTATCTGTAGAGCCAGACTTCATAGTCTGGGCTGTTGACTCTTTTCTTTCCGGCTCAAACCTACCTTCTCGGCACCATCTCCGGCCATGGCCTCCACTGACTCCAGATTTCTGTTTCATACTTGAACTTCTTCTACTGTTCTCTAGACTTTCCCGACCCTTGTACAACTTGATGCCCTTTTACACATTGCTCTCTTTACTTCTCATGTGGAGTCTCTCAGCCTCAGCACTGCTGGCTTTTGGGCTGGATGGTTATTTGCTGGGGACGATTCTGTACACGGTCGGCTTCCCTGGTGGCTCAGATGGTAAAGAATCCAGCTGCAATGCAGGAGACCCGGGTTCAGTCCCTGGGTTGAGAAGATCCCGTGGAGAAGAGAATGGCTACCCACTCCAGTATTCTTGCCTGGACACTTCCATGGACAGAGGAGCCTGGTGGGCTACAGTCCATGGGATTACAAAGAGTCAGATACAACTAAGCAACTAACACACACACACACATTCTGTATACCGTATGTAGGATGCTTACCAACAACCCTGACCTTGACCCAGCGGAGGCCAGGAACATCACTGACTCAGCCACAACAGCCAGAACCTCTCCAGACATTATCAGTTATCCCGGGAAGAGAAATCAACGCAAGTTGAGAAGCTCGGTTCTGATGTCCTTCACTCCCCTCTCTCTGGTAAAACTCCTGTGCATCCTACTCACCTACCTACAAAGTCACTCTCCTTGGAAAGCCTTCCCTGTCTTCTCTGGGAAGAAATTAATGGAAAATTAATTGCTTCGTCCTCTGATCTCTCATATCCCTTTTTGTATTCTTGTGTTAACATTTACTTCTTTTCTTATTACTTGTCTACTAGACTTGGTGCTTGTTGAGGGGACCCATCTCATTCACCTTTTGTTCCCCAGCAGAATAGATTTTTTTTTTAAGTTAATGAATTAATCAATGACTCCTAAGTGAAAAAATGACCTCTCAATGGATTTGTGTTTAGGGTTAATTTGAACAGTGGAACCATTGTCTGACTGAGGTTAGAACTGAAAATGAAGAGGTTCCTGAGTACCCAGGTGGATTCACAGGGACCTATGACTGATGAGGTGTGGTTTTTTCCACATTTCCTTTCAGGGGCCCTTTGGAAAGATGTTCAGAATGTTAGACAGGAGGGGTGGGTCAGAGGACTATGGGACTCTGGAAAGACACAGAAATCAGGAGTAAATCTGGGGAAACTTCATCTGCTTTGGGTATAGAAAATAAAAGTGTGTGAATCGGTGAAGCCACAAGGCAAATGCCAATAAAGTCCAAATGAGTCACTGGGTTTCCTAGGTTGTGCTAGTGGTAAAGAATTTGCCTGCCAATGCAGGAGACATAAGAGATGTGGGGTCCATCCCCAGGTCTGGAAGATCCCCTGGAGGAGGAAATGGCAACCCACTGCAGTGTTCTTGCTTGGGAAACCTCATGGAGAGAGGAGCCTGGTGAGCTACAGTCCATGGGGTTTCAATGAATTGGACACGACTGAAGCGACTTAGCACATATGCATAGGAGTTTGAAGAGGGGTTGTCCTGTAGGGCTGGACCAGCTGAAGAAGAAAGAGCTGCTTCTTAGAGCAGCTACATCTTAAACCAGGTTTCCCTGCTGGCTCAGACAGTAAAGAATCTGTGTGCAATGTAGGAGACCTGGGTTTGATCGCCGGGTTGGGAAGATTGGAATGGCAACCCACTGCAGTATTCTTGCCTGGAGAATTCCATGGACAGAGGTGGCTGGAGGAATACAGTCCATAGGGGTCACAAAGAGTTGGCCACGACTGAGAAACTGACTCTTTACATCACAGACCACATCTTTGACATGATAACACAGGCCCTGCACAGGCTCCAGTCCAACCAAACTGGCCTCCTTGCTGTTTCTCAACACTCAGTGTGTTCCCACCCCAGGGCCTTTGCACCTGCTGCCCCCACTGCCTGGGGTGTTTTTCCCTGCATGCCTAACCGACTCCCTCATTTCCTTTTGATTTCTGCTCAGATGTCAGACCATTGGACTATTAGGTCTATAATAAATGATATCCTTTCTGGGTACTCTCTATCTCTCACCCAGCATTATTTTTATTTTTGGGTGCTAAATATGTATCTACTTCTCACTTATCCACCTCCTCACTGAATGTAAGTTATGTGAGGACAGGCATTTTTGTCTGTTTTACTTACTGCTGTATCACCAGTGCCTACAACAGAGGCTGGCACACAGTAGGTACTCAACAAATGCTGGAGGAATGAGTGAGTGGATGCAGTCTGTGTCGAGCTGGCCTTGAAAGGTGGAGAGAGAAGTTGTAGGGGTGAGTGTGGAGCCAGCAACTGAGAGTGGACAGAAGAGACTGCAAACTCAGAGACCGCTCAGGCCCCACGAGGTGGGTGATGGGGCCAGGACCTCATCCTCGCGGCTGGCAGGCAGCCAGGAGGGCAGACGGATTTCTGTTTGGCCTTCTTCTGCTGCTAAGGCAGACGTGTTAGAGAAGATAATTGCAAAATATCAAGTGCCATGGAAACACTTATTAATACTGGGGGCTGGTGCTCCATCGGAGCCCGAGGGTTGCTCTGGCTTCGATGAACAGCCAGCAGTTCTGAAGCGTGTCCAAAGCACTTGGTTTCTTGGACCCGAAACCACAGTCTTCAGTACACAATGATTTAGTGCCTTCTGTCAGAGCGCCTCAAAGCCTGTCACCAACAGCCACCCTGCCCACGTCCTTGCGAGGAGGTGGCGCGGAGCAGCAGGCACTGCATCCTGTTTGTTTTTGACTAATACGATTTTGGAAACCTGTCCCTCCTTTTTCAGCTCTCAGGGATCCAGTTTTCCTTTCACTTCAGCCTACTGACTCTGTGTTCCAATTCCCAACCCAGTCATTTTGAAGGTTCACGGCCCCACAGGATGGGGAAGGAGATACTGGAGGCAGCTGGTGGTGACAGCAGCCTGTGTCTTGCCACCTGGAGGGGTCAGTGCCGTCTGCACCCTGCCAGCACCCAGGTGGAGGTGGAGGGAGGAGATGGGGCCAGAGAGACGCACTGGGGGCCAGTTTGCTCCTGTGTGGGGCTTCGTGGGGTCCATCCATGCCGACACCACTTCCCAACTGGATGCATTTCTTGGTTGGGGCAGCGGAAGCGCTGGTGGGTGGGGGACACGGGAGTGATGGATGCTGTGGGGGCTGCAAAACTGGGAGCCACTCAGAGTAGCGATGAGTCATACAGGCCTCTCCTGTTTCCCCTGAGGAGGGAGGGAGGGAAAGAGGGAAGGAAGGAAGGCTGGAGGAAGATAGGAAAGAGGGAAGGAAGGGAGGGAGGGAGGAAGAAAGGAAGGAAGGAGAGAAGGATGGAAGGGAAGGAAGGGAAGAAGGAAGGAAGGAGGGATGGAGGAAGGAAGGAGAAAAGGAAAAAGAGAAGGGAAGGAGGGAAGGGAGGGAGGAAGAAGGAAGGAAGGAGGGATGGAGGAAGGAAGGAGGGAAGGAGAGAAGGAAGGAGGGAAGGGAGGGAGGAAGACGGAAGGAAGGAGGGAAGGAAGGGAAGGAAGGCACATGCACACAGGCATCTGCACTCAGAAATCAGAAATCCCTCCAAGTATCTGAGTCTTTCCCTCTGGATGCCGGTGATCTCCTAAGGTGACTCCACTGTTCTTCGGCTTTAAGGGTTCAAGACTGAGCAAATCTGCTGCCCTCCAGGAAAATATTTCAGAGCTCCAGAATGGGCAAATCCCTCCTCCTCCATATGTGTTCTAAGCATCCCTGGACCATTCCCCCAGTCCTTACAGGGCTGGGCAGCTGTGTGACCACAGAGCTCAGGACCGGTGCCTTGAAACTGCTCCCTGGTTGGGTCTGGTCCTGGAATAGGTTGCTTCTTTCAGGGCACTGGCCTCTGCCTCTCTCTCCCGTCTGCTCTGCACTCAGCCGGGATCAGAGGAGGTGGGAGGTGGGCCTAGGGGACAGGGAATCAGGAGCAGGGACCCCGGGCTCCTCCTGCGGGACTGACAGGCGAGGAGCCTGTAGCCAGGGCCGGCTGGGCAAGCTCACCACTGCTTACAGGCAGGCACCCTTGAAATTCCGGTCATCATCTTGCTTTTCGTGTAGAAGACCAAAGGTCAGAGGAGCGAGTAGAGACCAGGGCTCTGAGAGGCAGTGAGAGCATCCTGGAGAAAGGCTGAAGAGGGGGTGGATGGGTGGCCACATTCCGCGCCTGCAATCCCCGCCTTTATCTGCAGGCCGGCCTCTTTGGGGCTGAAAACAAGCCCTCCGCCCCGCCCCGCGCGCTGCTTCTCTACCTGCTCGGAAACCCATCTCCTGCGCTTCCTTTTGATGACTTCTCCTTAGTTGCCACGAAGAAGTGCTCGTATCAGCAAACAGATGGCGGCTGAGGCATGTAGCATAAAATATATTTATCAAGGCAAACAGCTGTAGCCCATTTCATTCCGCAGATTTCTATTAAAAGTTCCCCAGAGCTACAAGGCGCTGGGAGGCGGCAATCGGAAGGCGGCCCTGGCGCGTTTTGTGCGGCTCTGGGGGGCGGAGGGGACCCGGGGCCTGGCGCCCCTATTCTTCTGGGAAGCCTAGCCTCTCCCGGTGGGGGTGGGCGCTCCCGAGGCATTCCCACCTTCAAGGACTCTGGTAACTTGGCGGCAGTGCCAGCCTCTGGGCAGGGTGGCAGCTCTGGGCGCCTTTCTGTCGTGGGAGGGGCGCTTGTGCTGGGCGCTGGGCGCTGGGTTCCACGTCTGCAGTCATCCTCACGGTCTTTCTCACTGTGCTTCATGGGGTGGGGGGGTTGTTTGTTTTTCTGATGCCCAGGGCCCGCTGAGCACCCTCTCCCCCGCCGTGGTTTGGAAGGGCGCTGGTCTGGGATTTGGAAGAACCAGAATGTCTTCCAGGCTGCCATTCATTATTTGCATTGAACGTGGGCAATCCATTTCATTTGGCGCTTTGTTTCCTCTTGAAGGGGTGGGATGGGATTTAAGGAGCAAACTCAAGTACCTTCAGGGATAAGGCAGGTCACCCAGGTGTGAAATGGCCAGGTGGAGATGGTGCAAGGTGCCTAGTGTGTGCCTTTCTGAAAGACATGCTCCAACACAGGAGTGCTTCCGCGTGGTTGTGGGGTGCATTTGGCACAGGGCCTCTGCTTTGAGATCCCCCCCGACTCAGCGTTTGTCAACAGGCCAGCAAGCCCTAATATTCTATAATGACTGTTACAGAATAATAGGTAGGATAAAGCTGAATGCCACAGGGGGCAAACAGATGATAGCGTGATCTAAAGGAAAATTGCTACCTTTTGCATTTTTATTTGAATGGACTTCTTTTTCTTAGAGTAGCTTTAGATTCACAACAAAAGTGAGGGCAGGGTAGAGGGAGCTGCCACATACCCGCTGCCTGAACGCATGCACCGCTCCCTCCACCACGGTACCTGTCTTATGATCGATGCCCCTCCACGGACACATCATTATCACCCAGAGGTCAGAGTGTACGCCAGGTTCTGTCTTGGTGTTGGGTGTTCTCTGGCTTTGAACAAATGGATGATGACAAGTATCCACCATTATAGTATCATACAGAAGAGTTTTGCTGCCCTAAAAACCCCAGGGCTCTGCTTGTTCATCTCTTTTGCATTTTTAAAAGGGAATGTGGAGTAAGTAACCGGAGACCCTGGCTCTTCTCTCTATCACTGTGGGGACCACCCATCTTCTCGAGGAATCCTGTGGCTTAGCGGGTCAGAAACAGGGGCCACGGACGCTGACTGTCTGGGTTCAAAGCCTGGCTGTGGGTCTCAGTAGCTGTGTGACCTCTGACAGGTTGTTTAGCTATACTTCCATTATACCTTCAGCATGCTCAGTTGCTGAGTCATGTCTGACTCTTTGAGACCCCGTGGAGTGTAGCTTACCAGACTCCTCTGCCCATGGAATTTTCCAAGCGAGAATACTGGAACAGGTTGCCAATTCCTCTTCCAGGGAATCTTCCCAACCCAGGGATCGAACCTGCCTCTCTTGCATCTGCTGCATTGGCAGGCAGATTCCTTACCACTAGCACCACCTGGGACGCCCTATACCTTCAGGAGGTTATTTAAAGATACTGCGTGTCTCAGTTTTCTCAACTAAAAAATGACAATCAAAGCAGCACCTATTAGGACTTCCCTGCTGGTCCAGTGGTTAAGGGTCCACTGCCAGTGCAGGAGACCCCGGTTCAGTCCCGGATCTGGGAAGATCCCACAAGCTGCAGAGCAACTAAGCCCATGCGCCACCACTCCTGAGCCCGCGTGCTACAACTACTAAAGTCCGTGCTCTGGATCCT